GCGCGGCGGTAGGGGAAATTAAATTAAATTTAAATTAAGTTCAATTAATTAAGCCGCTTCCCCCGTGGGAACTACGCTTCTGCGCTCACTCCGTTGTCCCTGAAATTCACCTCCTGCGAAAGGGCCCTGCCAGTGAGGATAGTGATCCCTGTTTGGCCCCGAACACGGAACTAATCTCTTTTAAATTAGTATTAAATTCTAAACGGTCTCGAGTCCGTATACGGCGGCGGCGTTATTAAATTCCGCTGCGGTGCCACATGCTGCCGCGAAATTTTCTCGCTCCGAACGAGTCGGCGCCGCGGACCCGATGTTTTACACCGATCATAAATACGGTGGACTCCTCTATTACGGTTCCGGTAGCGTTACGATTTCCGCAATATATGACGTAATCTTTCATCTCCGAAATTGTCTCGGCGAGATTTAAAGACCGCTTCGAAACATCTGTGGATTTTTAATGACACGCTATTAATATACGCTACGCACAGATTCGCGAATCTATTCAGCCGACATTTTTTCAACGCGTACGAAGCGCGAGAGGGAATAATTCCGTGCCGCGACGACTCGTCTGTAATATTTTGAACGTGGCGAAATTGGTTGCAGCGAGCGCGATTCAAATCAGCTCATTTAAGAAATTAATTATTTCCCCGCGCTCGCAATCAGCTTGATACAACGACGCGATAATAACGCAAGCTCGATTCGGCTTCGCTCGATTCGGCGTTTCCGCCCGTTATCCTCGTAAACCCACAAACCGCTACAATTTGATTTAGGATTGCATACGTCGGGGATCTGTAACCGATGCTGCAAGTGGCAGGTCGCAAGACACCGGCACCAAAAGAGATATACGATAACGACAGACAATTCGAGTCGAGCTTTCGAAACGCCGTAGGTACCGTGCCAAAGAGCCCGAGACTACCTTAGTCCGTTTCAGTAGATACCACGCGCACATACATACCCGCGTATATATGTACTACGGTATTTAAGCAACCAATTACGTCGTATACGATCGTAACGGGGGATCGTAATATGGGAGCCGGCGACCGGTGCCGGTGCTACCTTATAAATTTCACAGAATTGGCTGCGCCGCGCCGAAGAGTCACGAGCCGCACGCATAGCCGGCAATAATGACACCGGCTGCGGTATTAAAATTTTGCCAAAAATAAGGGGCGCCGCGCCGCCATGCGTTACGTGGCGCGCTAATTACCGCCAACGACATTGCAATACTTGCACTTGCGCGAAACGGATGATTTACAGGCCGAAGGGTGTAGATCAAATAGGCGAATCGGAGCAGCGTCGTGTGAATTACTAATCTGTCGGCGCACTTTGACACGTATGAGAAAATCTCTTGGCGACAAAAAGAAATCTGCGTATCAAGATTTTTCATCAAATATTTACAACGTTCCATTTTCTCACACGCTTGGATATCAGTTGAAAATTAGTACGTGGTATCGTTTATAAAACATCTCGCAATGAAACAATATTATTTCTCAGTAGGCTCAGTCCTTTATACGTGCAATTTTTAACTCGCGGGATTTCTTGGTTCTTTATCCAGGAGCACGTCCTAATGTGCTTAAAAGTTTCCTTTTACTTTAAAACAAGCGTAATTGTGCCGCCGGAGTTTCTTTCCTGAAATACTGTCGCAAACGATGTTCTTCTCTCGCACTAATAGAACGCATCTACGTGCGTCGCGACTCGGAACTTGCAAAATATCTCTAAAAGTTGCGGCTGTGCATCGCGTCGAGATCACGTTTCTGGCTGGAAGCTGGCCCCACGGAGAGAGAGACTGAAAAATGAATCTTCTCCACAGTGAGGCGAGATAGGTGCCGAGACGGTCATACATTTCGTACGAAAGGATCTTCCAGAGTTCGACTTTTTTTCCCCCCCCTTTTGGTAGGCGTAACTATTGCATGCCGACATGTAGAGCCGCTGCCTCTTCATATTTTACGACGATGAATTAGAAGCAGGCGTCGATACTGGTTCGGTGAAGTTATTTATTCAGTGATGGAATCCCAAACGATACGGCCACTCGTTAAATATTGTGCAAGGGCATCTAAAAATGTGTTTTTATGTGTGAATTATTGACGTATCGTGCCTTGTCACGTTTTTATGGTCTACTTTCTCGTATTAATTAAAATAATGAAGATAGGCAAAACCATTTAGTCGTAGCGTCTAACTTGAACGATAGAGCTAATTCGAGTAAATAGTTATTGCCTCAAGATAAATGATGACATTCTAACTTCAATAATCCACCTTTTGTACTTACGGTGCAAGCTCTCCCTTTCTTCCGTTTATGCCGTTCCAAATATAGCCTTACGCAACCCTCGATTCTTCGTATCCTGACTACCTAAGTAAATTAATCATCGCGCCGCTTCGATATGTTCAGCATCAGGCAATAATTATTCAGCTAAATGAATAGAAGATGAACACGTTGATTATCACGTTGAGGGGCAAACGCTCGGTAGAAGTAGAAAAGAACAGTTATTCGGATTTTGGCGTGATAATAACTTATGATTTATTATAATCGCGAACGTGTCTAAGTTAACAAGTTAAATATTACCACATGCCTCAACGGTCGAATTGGTGAGACGCCCGCCTAGAGTGTAGGAAAGTCCAGGTTCAAACCCTGGCTTAGGTAATATTTATCGCAATAATTTTTCTGTATTATTAACAATGCCAGATATGGTCAAGAAAATACTGAAGTTGTTAACAAGTTAATTGATATACAGGGTGTTTTTTTAACTTGAGACTGCAAAAATCTGGAAAAATAAGCATTGTACGAAAAAATGTTACAAATAAATGGTCAATATTTTCGAGGGGGCAATTTCATCCCGCAAAAGTTAGCCGCCTACCATTACCCCCCTCCCCCGGAGGTGAGGCGGGGGATAACTTTGAAATCTTGAATGGAAACCCCTATTGTTTATTATACTATTTTATTCTACTAATTAATATGAACAACTTTTGTCTGAAACATTTTTTATTTGTCTAATACTTTTTGAGATATTCAAGAGAAAATTGATAACGTCGATATTTAGCTCGTGATATCTCGATAACTATTTGTCGGAGGAAGAAGTAGTACAGGGCTTTTTTTTACTTGATTTGGTCTCGGGAATATGCTGCTGCAGCAGTGCTCTAATTATGAAAAATTTTTGTGTATTGTAATATCCACAAAATTTACATGCACAAAAATTTTCAATAATTAGAGCACTATTGCAGCAGCATATTCCTAAGACCAAATCAAGTAAAAAAATCCTGTACTACTTTTTTCTCCGACAAACAGTTATCGAGATATCATGAGCTAAATATCGAAAAATTATCAATTTTCTCTTGAATATCTCAAAAAGTATTAGGCAAATAAAAAAATTTTTCAAACAAAAGTTGCTCATATTAATTAGTAGAATAAAATAGTATAATAAACAATAAGGGTTTTCATTTAAGATTTTTAAGTTACCCCTCGCCCCACCTCCAGAGGAGGGGGCGGTAGGCAGCTAACTTTTGCGGATTGGAATTACCCCCTCGAAAAGATTGAGGGTTTATTTGTAACATTTTTTCGTACAATGCTTATTTTTCCAGATAATTTGCAGTCTCAAGTTAAAAATCTCACCCTGTATAAACAACAAGTACAAAGAGCGAGACATCGTCTTCTAGGACGAAGAATAGTACGCAGAAAAAAATAACAATATTATAGTAAATGTCAAGAATACAAAGAGCAACGTGCGCTAATAGTGTATGTTAAGCGTTGCACATAGAGCTATGACGAAACGATTAGCCTATCGCGTATAGCAGCGAGGGCCCGTAGGGAAAGACGTGCCGCGAGGAAAGGGGGTAGCGCGACCTGAAGTATGGGATAAATACAGGCGATGTTAATAAAGTCTTATCGGCGTGAGGCCATGCGTGTCGACTTAAAGCCATGGACACACTAATCCGCTATGCTAATGTCAGTCGGCCGGGAAAACGGTCGAGCGAGGTAATGCAGTCTTCCATGGCACGCGTATCTGCATAGAACGACGTTATATACTCGACTACTCGTACGAGGACAGCGGGATTGTGGTTAAGACGGGCTCCGAAAGAGCCGCGCGCGCACCCTCGAGCTTCTGTGACACGGGAAATAATCGCGTGCGAAAGTGGTCGCTTTCGCAGAAACGAGAATTAAAGTCTTTCCCAAGCGCCGTTTCCGATGGCAGGTACGCCGTGTGTCACGAGGGAATGGACTGTACGAACCCGCAGGAAGGAGCGGGAACGAGAGGAGAAATGAAAAAAAAAACAAAAAAAATCCCGCGAGCGAATTCAACGTTGCGGATTCGGCATATCATATTTACGACGCGGACACGACGTAATCCGGAACATTGTATAATGCGTAGCAAATCGGAAAGGAGAAAAAGATTCGATGGCAGATAGTCTTGCGAATAAAATCCGAGCTGACGTAACGCAGGAGCATTACGTATCAGCGTAACGTATCTCATCTCGTAGTGACTTGTGTGTACGTCTATGTCTGTATTTCATGCATAACTTTTGTAAATCTCTTTCCGAGATCTCGCGACTAACTCGGATATTTGATTCTCCTCTCCCGTTCTCTCCTTGCCGTCTCGATAATCATCGTCGCGCGTACGAAATAATAAGGACGACGCGAGGTATCGCGTTGGAATGACAATCGATAATCGATGGTTATTTATTGAATAAGACTCTCGTGGAATTGTGTAAAATTTCGTAATATCCGCAGGTGAAATTGTATGAAATTATAACGGTACCTTTCGGTACAATACCAGCACTGATTAGATAAGTTATGGCGGAAAAATATAATAAATAAGATTTTAATTTATTTTACAAATAAATTAGTAAATGCTAAATCTTTTACAAAATTAATGAATTTACGCACAACTAGCAGCATTCTGCCATTTAATCCATGTAGATTACTAATTATTACGAATTATCGACAATTTGCACGCATTCCTATTTGTCAAACTAACTGTAAATTTACCAACACATAGAAGAGATCAACTTTATTCCTCCGTTTATACGACATTTACTAAAATCCAATGCGGACGCGTCGAATCTTCTGTGTCTATGGAAGCTCTTGGACTAATCATTGTATTATTATTGCCAACACTTACTCAATCTTTTTCCGCAAATACGACTTTCTATAATAATCTATAAACATATAGAACATGCATACTACTTGAGACATGTAAATGTAGGCTAATGGTTTCCGCGTTGGCTCACAAGATGGTTGGAGCGCTTGTGACGTATGGGCCACCATAATAGTAAATTGGACCTGAAACAAAGGGCGTTATGCCAAATTTCAACGTAAGAAACGGTGAGACACACGTTTACGGCAGTCACCTCGCGCGGATCCTCTCGCAGTTAATTAAAAGTTTGCAAATGCGAGATACACACACGTTCATCTAAAGCGTTTCATCGGGGGACTATTTCGAGGCGAATGTAAATAGTAGTACGCGCGACGCGAGCAACGTAAAAGAAGTAAAGACACACGGTATTCATATGGCGCACGCTTGACAGGCTCGATGTACCGCATGCAAAAAAGCACACGCCATTTTGCCTTTCCTCGTCCGACCTCTGACCGGAATTCTAGAGCGCAAAAGCTCCGCGCGAAATTAAACAACCACGTAACCCGATAAATCGTTCCGTCGATATCGCTGGAAATAAAAATTCTCTGGTAACGGATTATTTAATTAAAAACGGTACTGCGAGCCTTCGTCCGCCCGTCCCCCCTCCTCCCTCCCCCCCCCCGTCCCGCCCCTCGCTCAAATGTTACGCTCAAATGCAAACCGAATTGAGATTCGACGAGAAACACATGTGATTCGGCAAGCAGCGCTTACGGAGCTTTTCAATCCCTCGTGAAAAGCCAGTTATCGAGTTATAGGAGCGGTGTAACCGCAATGAAGCACGCGCGTATGAACGTATCACGCGAAACGCGCGCTATTTCATATGTCCGCATGAATCTGATACAGGCACGCTATGCTTCTCAAAACTGTCAAATCGAAACATGGAAACGTTATTATCTCGAATCGGCGATGGCTAAGAATTTATTAAGACTCCGTACAACGCAATATCGTTTAAACGGCCATAAATAGACGTAAAGTAAGTACGCACCAGTTGCAAACTAGTCACATACTTCTTCCAAGGAGCTGTTATCTTCTGCACTTTTGGTCCCAAACAAGCGCAGAGATAATATGTGTACATAATTACATGTACCACGCAATTGGGCATCATTATAAAGGTCCACATGCCACCTGTGCGTAAAATAAAATATAAAAGTGGATCAACGTGCGGATAGAATTGAATCAATGCGTACGCACACGTATTTCGACACTTGCTGTCTTTTTCGGTCGAAATGCGAAATGCGAGTTTCACGAATGACTAAATTTTCTCATCGCTGTCCGGTGCATACCTGGTGCATATTTACAGGCGATCCACGCCAAACAGATTGTCACCGTGTGATGATATACGTGAAGAAATGAAATCTGATTATATTTCTTTCTGAAAGTGAAAATGACAGTATCTGCGAGCTCGGCGATTTTCAGTATTAAAATCCACCATATCCATCGAGCCATCTTTAAATAATAAAATTTCATATATTACAAGTGTTTCTGTATTGAGGATTCTTGTATCGATCGAGTTTTAATTTCATTTATGTTAAATGACAAATCTTTGTCAAAATTAGTCAAAAGTTTTAACTTGGCCTCTAATGAGCAATAATACGTAACTAAATTTTATCATAGATTTTAATTATAATTATTATACTTACGCTAAGCGACATAGAATCGTCTGAAATCACAAAGGGCTCACATCCCATCGAAAGATGCGTTGTGTAACCAGATGTGAGTATCTAAAAGTCAGATAAGACTATAACTTAGATTTAAAAATATGAATAAAGAGAGAGAGAGAGAGTAAAACATTCGTAATTAAAAAATCGTATCGCGTGTACAGTAAATTATTTATATTAAATTATTCATTTATTATTATGAATACTCACACCATAGAATATAACAGCGCTTGCAGTTGCAACAGAAATATTATAACATATCATAGTCTTGACGAGCGCCTGGGGTTTTCTGTCTTTCATGTAAAGTGGTCCGAAGTAAAGCACAAAAGACAAATAAGCGAGTGAAATCAATACTATACCAAACGGATTTGACATCAAGGGCCAGTCAGAGACTCGGGGATCTGCGGGTCGATAAAACAATGCAAATATTAGACAATAAAATATTCGTAATAATACACTTAAGCTTATGAAGAAGATTGTAGCGACGCAACTCGTAGAAAACTCATGTGATTGTTAAGAAAAACTTATTTTCATTATGCTCAAATAAGTCTTTTTCCTCGTGTAATTATAACGTTACGCCAATTAGGATTTATTTATATACATATTATATATACAGCTTCAATCTTTTTCATAAACTTTTTCACAACATTCATTCTTCACCTAATTTATTTCTCTAACTTACCCGAAATTTCATCGATAAGGTAATGATAAATATTCGAAACTTCCATATTCTGAAAAATAAAGACAATGAAAGGAAAAGAAATCGTATTGTTTAACAATTGAGTAAATAAATTCGATGATCGATAAATACATGTATGAAATATAGGGGTACGTTACGTTAGATATAAAGTTACGGGCGGATATCGTATGTGATAGAGGGAATAAAGTTATAAGCGAAACTTCCGTAATCATCAAACTTGTGTCACGCAGTTGATTGCTAACGTCGACTGAATTGTAGTGTCGGGTCAGCATTTTACCGAAATAACTATGCAAGAGAAATTCGATTTGAAATAAAATGGAGAGATATTCCGAATAGAGAGACATGACAATTTATTAGCAAACAGGTTTAGAGGGCAAAAAATGATTTTTTGCACTTGTTAATTTCAGTATAGATTTAATCTGATCCTCTATATACATACATAAAAGCCAGCAGGGGCTGCTTGTATAATCCCCTAAAAACTAATTGCTGTTAACGCTTTGAAATAAATCTATTGATTATGTTATTCTCAATGTCGCGGCAGTGTACTGTCACGGATCGACAAGAGTATTCGTTTCGTCCGTTTTTCGGCAAACACATTTAAATGCTTCACCGGGGATTTCGACTCGATTGCGTGAAAATTTATAATGAAGATAGTAAAGATAAGAGACTTTATTCTTGCTCGGAAAGATAACGCATTTTGTAAACTTCGTAGCGAGGACCTGACTTCGGAATGTTCTTATAATTTGGTTAATAAACCTTGAAATCGATGGGGAGAAAGTATATATTTCTCTCAACCTTGTGTTTTATACACGATTTCGAATCCGAGTTCGTTAACTTGAAGGTAGAGGAAAGTTGGGTCTTGACCGAAGGTTAGTGCTTTCTTAATTTGGTACTTGAGCCGTTTCAGTTGAACTGGATATCTCCTTTTTTGAGTATTAGGAAAAGCGGTAGGAGGGGACTTGTGGCTATTCTCTGAGAGAGAGCTACTCGCTAAGAGAGAGAAAGAGAGAGAGAGGGGGGGGGGAGAGGAGAGAGGGGAGTAGAGATTCCGTTCGCCAGAGGATAGGAGCACGAGAGAAGAGATAAGATTTCTTACAGTGGTTTACCTTTTATTCGTGTCTAAGTTATAAGATGATCGTCAGTTTTTTTCTAAGTCTGGACAGAACAAAGAAGCCGCTGTTGGAACTCAAAAATTTCTAAGTGATTAAACCGAAAATCCTCGCCTGAACAGTCTAAGCGTGAGTACCGATTATTAACTGAATGTAACTGAATGTCCAAAAGTCCAAACACTGATAGCGTTTTCGATTTGCTGACTCGACCCGACTCCGAGTCAGAAAAGTTTGATCAAGAGTAAGATTTTTGTAGAAATTGTGGTTCAAATCTTGCTTTTGATCAAACTTTTCTGACTCGGGGTCGGGTCGAGTCAGAAAATCGAAAACGCTATGAGTGTCGAATACCGAATATCAACTGAATGTCGCCTACGTTGCTTTGCACCTATTTATACTCCTAAATGTCAGGGACTTTTTTTACTTGAGTCTCCCACCATTTCGATATATTTTACTAAAACGGAGAAGGTTCATCTACACAATTTATAATATCTGTGCCTAGCGTTACATGTCCCTTGGATACGTCATTCTGTTAGAATTTTATCTGTGAACAGAACGTTTTAAGCGATCGTTCAAAAGGGTCTT